TCACTCAAAAGTAATTAAGAGGGGCATTGCCTCTACATGCCTGAGGGCTGCCTTAACGAAGTCCTGCCCACATAAGATAGAAGACAGGCTTTCCACCTACGCTTGTTGTGGGGGTGGCACAGGGTCTGATAAAGAAACTTCGGGGAGGATGTGGTGTTTTGGGAGAGAAGCCAAGGCGTAGGCCAGTTGTAATACCTTATGTTCATAAGGTGAGCCACAATATAAAGAAAGTGGGGCAAAAGCATGGGGTTCCCGTTTTACTCTCAGCTCCTCAAAAACTGGCCAGATTGTGTGAAAAAGTGGGACGAGGGGAGACACGCGTCGGTGTCTGTCAGAAGAAACGTAAGACCAGGTATGTGGAATGTAGCGTGGGCGTGGTTTACAAGATTCATTTATCATGTGGCAAAGTATACATAGGCCAATTGGGACGTTGTATAAATGATAGGCTTAGGGAGCATGCACTGTCAGTTCGATCGTCACCCTCGGGAAATCTGGCTGTGCACTGTGACAGATGTGGGTGTGTCCCTAAGTTTGACAACACCATTATTTTGACCCGAAACCGAAACAAAATGACAAGAGAGATATCCGAAGCTTTTTTTCATATCTCAGTGCGTTGAAGGAACGTGTGTCAACGCTCCATCTATAGCCCTGTTTGTCTCTGAGGTGGCATTTTAAAAATATTTCGTAAGGTAGATAGCGGACAGACGAAGACTGATTGGGTGATGTCACATTTCTGCAGTGCATGTCGCAATTTTACGGTGTATATATATATATGTGTGTTTTCTGAGAATAAACTTCAGTTGCAAGTAGCGCTCTGTGTTGTTCGTTTATTTTACTCGTTCGTTGTTTTTAGCGCTTTTACCCTCACAAATATGTAGGTGCATTTTAGATCAAATATTTGTTACCTTATCAAGACGTATACAAGTTTCAAACGCCAAAAAGCATGGATTCTCTCTTCGGCAAGCAAATTTTGTGAGAACTACATCGCACGGCGTAAGGAAAATTCGCAAAACCACATCTTTTCTGCGCACGACGCCATCGTTAATGGTTCCTCGACGTATTTAAGCAGCATACACGCTGAAGCTCGGTGAGAGTGTCCTCAAAGCGGTAGACGCGTCCATATTGGCGTCGACGCCTGCTACAGTTTCGCGTTCGTCGTGAGACGCTGCAAAACGCGCAGGAGGCGACGCTGACGCGAGCTAGGCGACACTGTGCGGATCCATTAGGGATGTCGTTCAGCGGAGGCGGGATGGGAGGGGGGGGGGGGGGGGGGGGGGGCAAAGGCACAGGACTTTTTTTTTAGGTGGCATTGCTTCGTGACGCTGCCAGTAAGACGCGGTCGACGATGACGTGTTCTCCTTCGTATATAAATCGCGACTGCACAGGCGAGGGGGGAGCGCGCGAATTTACAAGCGCCGCTTTAGTAACGCACGAATGTCACCGGCCATTCGTGGCCCTTTTCAACTAGATGGATGGTTAGCGAATACAATCGACTGAAGTTGTCTGGCTTGCAGGCTCGTCGCATCTCTTGTTGCCGGAGAGAGAGAGAGAGAGAGAGAGAGAAAACGTTTAATGGGGACCCTAAGTTCACGGTGTCAAGTGGGCATCCAGGAGGAGGCCAGTAAAAGAGGGGTGAGGATAAGGGGATCACAGAGGGCTGGTAGCACCATCCAGTGCTCTCAGTTCCTCTTGGATGGCGGGAGCAAGTTGATTATTCATTGGAGACAGTCACCCTTGCTTCGTGGTGGGTCGGAGCCTGGGAGGGATTGTGGAAAGTGTAGAGCGGATGGAGGACTGTGCATGGACTGGAGGCAGTGCCAGTGCTTGTTTTTGGGGTAGCCAGGACAAAAGGGACATTTTGTTGTCCCTTGAGAGCGCCTCGGGAAAGTTGAGTATAGTGGTGGGAGAGTAGAGTCTAGGTCTGAGCTCGACCTAGGGTGGTGGCTTGTTGGGAGAGGGTGAGTGGCGTTGTTACGAGGGTAAGTCTGGTTTCGCGGAGTTGTCTAGTATATTGGCGCGTTGTTGAATGTTTTCGGTACCTTGTAGTTGGGGCTCATAGGATTTAGGCCAAGCGAACAAAGGTCTCGGGATGGACGTGACTCGGGAAAGTAAATGTGCTTATTCGTTGCCTGGAACCAGAGCGTGGCCAGAAATCCAGTGGATGTAGATGTGAATGGTGGAAGAGGTGTCGAGAGCGGCGCGGAGGCTCGCGTGACATGTGGTTGGGGAGCTGATTGTATTGAAAGACACGGTGTGTTGTTTGTGGGTAACTAAGAATTGCGATGGAAGTGTGTCCTTCGTCCGTGTAGGCAATGGCATGGTGGATGGCACAGCAGATCGCCTGTGCTTCCAGGTGGTCTGCTGAGGGAGCTTGGGCATAAGTTTGAGTGAGCGAGGCGTTGGTCTGAGGTAGCGAAACGCAGTGCGGCCGAGTTTTCCGCTGCCATCGTAGCTGGCGTTCGTGGAGTATAGATAAGGTGGTGGCAGGCCTGAAGAGTGCCGATTTTTCGGCTTATGAGTTTGGTTCTGTGCTGGCGGCGTGCGTGGTCTACTTTCTTGTTCTCGAAAGCGCCCGTTCACTCTCACCCCGAACGCTAGACGCTCGAACTTTCAAAGCCAAATTTTCGAGTTGCCGACTCACACTAGATGGTGAGCTGCTCGCGGGACCTTGTCGAGTCAGTCTCGCTTTCGTTTGCTCTTACGCCGCCAAATCGCTGCCCTTTTGTCTGCTGTCTCGACGCTCGTTCTTTATTTTGTTTGGCACAAGTCGCCCGATTAAACTTTGTTTTAAACGGCACTTTCGCCGCTTGTCTCCTGTCATTTGTGACAATATATAGCGCTGTAATTATACTATTCACGCATCCGCAAGCATGCATGTTTTAATGACCGGTAATTCGGAACTTCATAGAAATAGAACACGAGTTCAAAGTTCAAACAGACATTTCAACTTGCCCTGACTGTTACGTCACATGGATATTAACACCAAAAGAAGCCAAGTTTGACAGCTTTAACTCTAGTTTCCACAATGCTGGGTCTACGTATTAGAGAGGCCTGAGTAAAGATTAAGGAACAGAACCAAGTACACTGTAAACGACTTTAATTTCGCGGGCTCAAATTTTCGCGAATCGGATCGAAGCTGAAAATTTGAAATTATTCGCGGGTTCTAATTTTCACGAATCGAGTGTAACTTCGGTAGCGTTCACATATTGCCCGAATCGTTCGCGGGGCGTATTTGTCACGAATTGTAGGTGATTCGCGAAATTCGCAAAGATTAGGTCCTCACGAAAATTTAGTCGTTTACAGTATTAAAAAAAAAAAAAAAAATCCGCGTGCGTGTGGTTTGTTGTAAACACTTTTTGCTTGTAATATATTATGTAGATGTGTGCTTTATCACAGGTGATATATCCAGCCGACCCCATACAAAAAAATCCTATGGTCAGCTATAGAAAATTCTTTGTATGATCGGCTTTAGCTATTTGGCCCGATTAGCTAAAGCATTTTCTATGGCTGTCTTTAGCATATTTTATCGTCGCCTTTATGGGTCTCTTTAGCTTTGCTTATGGCCCCATCGCTGTCCAGCCATAGCGCTCTTTAGCTTCTCTAATGGTTGGTTAAAGACTTCTCTATGGCTTACCGTACGGCTCTCTTTAGCCAGCAAACTAAACAAAATTCTACTTCAAGTTCCCCCGACCTGTGAACGCTACATTGAAGTTATACATAAATCTATGAACACACAGAACACAAGTAGAACCTACCCCACACAACAACAACGCAGCGACACCGGACCCCCGCCCCTCTCTACATATGCTATGTTGGCACTAGCTGTATATATATGGCAGTCTAATTTTTGAATCCGACTTTGCCGGTGACCCATCATTTGTCGCAAAAACACGGAGAGGCGGAGCAAATATTACTCGTACTTAATACATTCTTTGAATTGTCTCTCGGAATAGCATTAATTCAACGCCCTGAGCAAAGGAAATGTAGATCATTAGGCTAATTAACTAGAATTTATTATCTTTAATAAGTTTGATGAATCGTGTTGACAATCAAGTGTTGTAGTGCAGTACACTGGTGGTGAACATTGCAATCAAGCTATTGCTTGATTGCAGTGTAATCGATTTTCAGTTTTGGTGGAAAATAATTAATTTTAATTGTTACACAAGTATTTCAATGGATTTTTCAAACAAACAATATTACTGGTTTTCAAGACTCGTTGCAACAGCAGAGCACATAACTTGGGTCATGCTTTGTCACCGGTATTACAAAAAGTTAGTATTGCTTTAATTTTCTAACCTGGAGCGTTTTTCCTATGAAAAGTAGGTGCCGAGAGTGATAAATACCCACGAACCATGACTTGGGTATCACAGCACACGACTAAAATGAGACTGTCTTCGGTGATATAATGCAACCGCTTGAAAACATCAAGTTGCCCAAGTCAGAAAGTTCAAAAGCCCGTGTTTAGAGTTTTAGTTTAGCAGACCGCCGCTGCCGCCGCGAGCATGGAGGAGGAATTTTTAGACTCGTTGCCATAAAATTTCTAATGGACGGGGAAAGAAAATTTATTGGTTCCCAGTCTTTAGACGCGGGGCCATAAAACTTTCTATGGACGGGTAAAGGAAATGCAATGCTTCCCTGTCTTTAGACTCAGGGTCATAGAATTTTTTATATGTGGGTAAAGACAATTTTTTAATCCCCAGCCTTTAGACCCGTGGCCGTAGAATTTTCTATAAGCGGGTAAAGAAAATTTATTGGTTCCCAGTCTATAGACACAGGACCGTTGACTTTTTTAATAGCTGGCTGTAGCTGTACTTAGTGATTTCTACGGCTAACCATAGAAGGCCACAGGGGTGAAAGCCTGCCATAGAATTTTCCATAGACGATCATAGACCATTTTTGTATGGGACTACACTACACATTTTACAGACATCTTTAATTTGCTTTTTAGGATGCTTTGTCTACCCCATATACACGATTCACACAAATGTTTAGATTGCCGCTTTAAATTGTACGTTTATTTTAATGTAATAAGCATGTAATCATGGTTTTTTACAATGAGCGGGAACGTAGTAACAAAGATGCTTTTGCTTTTGGGCTGTTCATTCGTATATTTATGGCCAAAATACATGAAAGGTAGCGGCAATCAAAGTCAAGACTTATCTGTACGTACGCCGGACATTTTTACAAATTTCTGTTTGTGGGTTCATCACTCTGTTGTATAGTTCCTTTATAGAGATCAACATAAAACCACACCACCTAGATTTAAAAAAGAATCTACATGGACACCGGCATGAGCTGACATCTAGGTGGATGTCTAGGTGAACGTCTAGGCTGACGTCTACACAAATATCTACACTTGCACGTGAGCAGTTTGAAACAAATATTAGTTTGGTAGAGTGCGTGCGTGTGCGCCATAAACATCGGCGGAAAAGCTTGGTGCTTGACAGCAAGGACGTGTAAAAATCTCAGGAGCACAAATGCTATGATCGGACAAGCTGTGTCACGTAATGTAGACAAGACACTCGGGTGGAGTTTTTATAATTGTCTTCACGGAAATATTTGTAAAAAAACAGTGAAATCAACATTCCCATGGCTCAAGATCATAACACGCACATCCACAAGCACAAGCACAATCTGCCATCTGCGCAGAGCTGCGTGGAGCGTTGTCCAGTGCCATGCAGCCGGTCCAGCGTCACAACACGCACATTCAGAAGCACCATGATCTGCGGCACCGCCTTTCATGCAGAGCTGCGTGATACTGAACAAGAACTGGAAACGGGCAGCGGCTCTGGAAGGTCGGGACTAGATGATCTGCCGGCGGTAGAGTTTCGTTCGCGCAGCAGCAGTTCTTCATGTACGCCTCGGGAGGCTCCGGGCCGCCAGTGGAGGCGACTTTACGTAGCACACGCAGCACGACGGGAACGGGAAGTTATCGGCGTAGGCCTTCTTGTCTGTCGGATGCAGGGCCAGCAGTTTCCGGTACGCGAACTTCTGTCGGCACGCCGATGTGTAGCCCGGGGGCAGGCTGCTCGACAGAAATTCGCACGGAGTGTCCTCTTGCCTGCGAAGAAACACAGACCCGATGGTGAGAAGGAACTGTGGAGCTGCCCAACGGGGACGCGATATGTGGTCATCGGGGAAGAGAACAAGTGGAATGAGCCGCGTAAGCAAACGCGACACTTTCCCACGAGATGTACAGGGTGCGAGCACGACCACAGGAGAGGGGGCTGGGCTGAGCAAGTTCATCGCGAAAGAGGCTGTTTTAGAATAGGGGACGCTAACGATTTGGGTCCTCCAAGCAGCTTAGTCTTTCGCACGGCGCACGCGCGGGACTTCGATTCTTGCGCAGTGCTACGCACCAAGTTTCTCGAGGGACCTAAAGCTTTGGGGTCCTTTATTATAAAACTTTAATTTTTGTTCTGTGTATGTTTAGACGTAGGAAAGTTAATCAGGAGAGCCCTGCGCGGATAACAGATTGATCGTCCGCATCCGGTCCGCAGACCTTGTATGTTCTTAGATTATATCCGCATCGCGTCCGCAGCTGCTCACTGTGCATCCGCATGCAAACCGCATCCGCTAAACTCGGAGCCCCCGCAGACTCGCAATCCGCGCATTCATGTTATATCATGAAATAAAGTGTGAATTAAGCAAAAAAAAAAAAGCCTCCGGGTGGTAACTTATTTCTCGTTTGCTTACGTTTGTACGAAGAACTCTTCGGGTCAGAATACTGTGAAAGTAATTTTATCGCTCTCTGTTTTATTATTTTTAAATTATAATCAGTTGTTCTTACAGACACACCTCGCGTCGCTGGGAAGATTATCGTAGTTATGAGATCGCCCTGCGAGTCTTCAACGCTCTACGCAGAAGATGCGCTCAAATGGAAATAGTTTAATATCTTGTTTCGCTCCACCTTGTAACATTCACTTTGGCAGACACGTGCTTTCTATCCAGTAATTTTAATAAAAGACGGACTAATAACATTTGCCTAGTTTTTTTAGGTCAAACAATAAAGAGTGGGAGTGGAAAGGCGGTCACTCAATGCAGTAAAGTACTCGTTTATACGTGGTAGGACGTGAGTATACCACTGGGAAAATATGAAAATATTCAATAATGGCAGCACCTCCTGTTGGTTTCAGTTTTAAACACGAACCCGCAACTGCGTGCTACGAACCACATACTTAGCAGAAAATTGTAACTTTTTGGGAGGGAGAAAAAAAAAAAACGCAGCAACGCACGCCAAGTTTCACTTGTCGGTGAGGCTTCTACTTGTGGCTTGCACGTTTTGGGTTTTCTTTGCCCGAAGTACCTTTTCTTGCTCTTTCCCTGCAAAACAAGTACACGCTTTTCCGAGACGATTGATGCCCTTGCGTTATTTTACTTTTCCTAGGGACAAAATTTTTGCGAGATAGGATACTCTAAAGCAATCTTACGTGAGAATAAAGTCTTTGTTGACGTAAGAAACAGTTTTCTCCCCGATTGGCACCTATTTTCATGGAGAGTAATTTGCTCACGCAAAACATTCGGTAATGCACTTTTTGCTATTTCTCACTTAAAAAAAAAAAAAAAAGAATTGGGTTGTGCGTATGTTTATACAGCTTAGAACTTGGTCTGCCTCACAGGGGCGACGAGTCTCCCAGCTGTAGATGAGCAATTTAGCCAGTGCAGTACAACCGCTAGCCTGGGGTCTTTAGCGTGCACCACGCAGTAGTGATACACGACCGCACGCCGGTACGATGCTCATCCAGATCGAAACGGGCAGGGGTGGGGCTCGAACCCAGGATCCCTGGGTTCTGCAGCGCGAGCTTTCGCTCCACGTGTGTCGAGCTGGGTGTGCGTTTTAGCCCACTCGGCCACCGATCCCCTTATTTCTCACGTATTTAGTCTACACCCTGCGGTGGCATACGTTTATGAGTCGCCTCGACAAAAAAAAAAAAAAAAAAGTAAATTGAGACTTGCGGATAAAATTGTTCCATACGTCACCGTCTAGCCCGCGCTCCTGGCTTTTCCTAGAGACAGCAAGCCTAGGAGCGCGGGCTAGCTTGTGCTTGTAGCTTTGGCCGCAGACTCAGCTTAAAAGTGCCCTAAGGAGGTTTCTGAGGTCGCCAAAATATGGCGATAACTCACTCTGTGGGCTCTAAGCAACAGCAAAAGTAATTGGACATTACTCTAAGAAGCAACCGTTACTTTTCCGATTACTTTATTGGGTGAAGACTCACATCTTTAGCGCTCATAACTATACTCCCAACCCTTATTTCACATTTTCACAAGTTTTGAAGAAGAAAAAACGGGTTCCCTCTTCGTGGTCGTTGCACCTTCACAATGCGGACACAAGCATAGGATCGTTTGAAGAAGTATAATGATTTCGACGTTCGCCAGTTGGGGAGGCGGGGGGGGGGGGGGGGGGGGAGGGGGAGGGAGCGAAGGGGTTTTAGATTTTGTTAAGCTGAAGCAAGGGTTGTCGCTCAAAGTTTGCGTCGCTTATTTTATTATTCACATGTGAATGAACTCGCATGTTATACAAAAGAGCAGCAGCTCCAGGATTTGAATCTGATCGTATGTAGTATCCATTAGCGGAAGAGATTGCCCCGACCACTTCTCGACTCGAAACCTTGCTTTTCACAAAGGTTACGCAGGGGAAATAGGGAAATATTTGAACTGGTTTTGATATATTTTGCATCCGCTTTAGACATTCTTCGGTACTGGTTCTCCTACGAGCTGCGAGTAGGTACCGTAAGCAGGATTTTTTTGTTTTTTATTCTTGTGTGTGTGTGCGTGAGGGAGCTGGTTTGAACGAAGGACTTACAAAGCTACATTCTGCTTCCTAAAACTTCGCCCTGAATGGCCTTCGTCACGCACAGGGGCTTCACTGAGGCTTCCCACTCCCAGTCCCAGCTCGAAAAAAAAAAAAAAAAAAAGGACATTCCACAGAAATTGTACATAGCAAGAGATTGACCTCGTTTCCTACAGCTCCGCAAAAATCTTTACTTTTTCCGTTCGAAAAAAGAAGTAAATTTTATTTCTGTCATTTCAGGAAAAAATGTGCAAAGGGAGGGGGAGGAGGGGGAAGGGGGTCCCGTGAAAAAATAGTAACAGTTAGAAGTAATTTTTATTGCTTCAAAAAGTAATCAAATTACTCTTGTGATTACTGCGCAATAAAAGTAATCAACTGATTACAAAATTACTCCAAAAAGTAATCAATTACAAGTAATTTGATTACTTGTAATGCGTACGGTACAAGTCTGGTCATATGTCGTCCAGTCGCCGGAGGTGACCTCGGTGCTTTCAATCTTTGATTGCCTTTTTACTGGGAAAATCGGCAACGGAACGTTATGATTTATGAATTTTTAGGATGCTTAAAGGCCACACAGTGAGTTATCGCCATATTTAGGCGATCTCCAAAACCTCCTCTTGGTCCAGGACACAGGTCGACAAAGCTAGAGGGCAACATCATAATGGTCTCGGCGACCCGTTCTCGAACCCGACCCTACCCCGTCGGATGCCACGAGCCAGATTAGTCAATCCAAACGCAAATCGCGAGACTTCACGCATCACTCCGCCCAACCGGCAGGTCACGTCACACGGGTGTTATGCGTTGACTCCGGTGGTTCGGTCCGACCGCTAGGTGGGTGAAGGGGCGGCCCTCCTAGCTTTGGCAAAAATGAAGGAAGTCACTGTCCGCAGACCGCCGGGACTGGGAAAGAATGCTTGACACCACCAGGTTGAGTGCAAATAAACGTGCGCGAAAGTTCAGAGCGCCGAGGAAGAGTTATTCACCCGCAGACTTCAGTGGTGACAGCCTGAGCGTACTCGACGTCGTTGACGACGTACAGCCACTCCTTCTCCGCGTTCTGCGCGCTCTTCGGGTAGATGGTCTTGCGCTTGGTGGGGCACACCCGCTGGTCGACGCTGTCCTCGCGGTCTGGGGGCTGCCTCGCCAGGATCTCGCTGTCGCTCAGGTCCACGTTCACGTTGCGAAGGATGCTCTTGATCAGTTGCCTAGAGGGATAATCCCGAAAAAAAAAAATCGCCTCGCTTAGACATTTTGTTAAACGCAACGAGAGTGCGACAGCACTATATATATATAGCCGATACTACGAGCTAATGGGATCAATAAAGCAGAGTTAAAAGCGATAGTCACTGGCCCTTTTCTGTTTATGTTGAGTTTAGCGATGATAGAACATGTGCAGATGGTGCGTTTTTGACGCTGCCTGATTTGTCTCATCAGCCTGTAGCGTCTGCTGCGACTTAAGCGCCGTTCACACTCTTGCGACCGAGTACGACCGAGAGAGACCAGACCGGTTTTTAAGCCTCTTGCGGCTTTCTAGTAACGGATGCGATGCAGCTGATCTGATCCTAAGAGATCGCAAGATGCTTAAAAACCGGTCTGGTCTCTCTCGGTCGTACTCGGTTGCAAGAGTGTGAACGGGCCTTTAAGGTGAAACGAAGTACAATACGTAGTTCCTACCCGACCGTTCCTACGTATTGGAGGAGGAAGGGAAGGAGAGAGGGAGGGGGAGATAGTGCTAGCACACCGCTTGCCATTGGCTTACTCCCGCTTTTCCTCCTCCTCCGCGTGGCGCAATACCATTGGACGCGCGCGCTTTGACGTCAAACCAAGAGCTGCGCTCCACTGCTGACACTCTCGATGGCCTTGCTACGGTGAGACCACAACGAGCAAGCGGGGACCGTACAAAGTTCTCGCATAACGTCACAGCTTTGAGAGAAGCAATTCAGTCGGTGGCTTATGGGATGTGTGAGTGGAAGTGACACACCATGAAGATACGGACGGTCAGCAGCCTCCTAAGCATCCTTAAGCTATGGTCACACTGCTTGTACATCATACAAAATACAGTCTGCATACAGATTCCAGCCCGAGTCACCTCGAGATTCGTCCTTCGAATGCCACATGGCAATCGGTTTAAGGAGAAATTTGGCACGCGGCATACGAAACACGGATATTGCGGTAACTCATGTTTGTACACTGTCCTTTGTATGATGTATGAGCATCTGACCCCGGCTTTAGTGAGGGGTGGTTTCAACTATTGGTACGTCTAGTAGTAAGTCCAGATGCTAAGCCAAGCAAAGAAAGCGCGAGTCGATTTGAGCACGCTTTCGACTCGGAGTTAGTGTACGGACGTAAGCTCGAATCGGTCACGTGACAAGGAGATTGTTTCTTCTTGCTGTTGTTCATGAAATACACGTAAGCCTAAAAAAAACACAAAGAAAAAGTATTGTTTTTTAGAGGGCATAGATGGGACACGCAATTTTTAAAATAATATGTTTCCACAAAACTTTTTTTTCGCGCAATATTTACGCCGTTAGACGCAGTTTAGGTGGAGCTTACAGCCTGCTCTAAGCCCGCCCACAGAGCAGTGACCCCGCCCATTACTACTGGACTGGCTTGGCTTCTCGACAAAACAGGCTAGCAAGCGCAGTGTCTTCCTTTCGCTTCATCCGATGCGTCTAGTCTGGAAGTCTAAAGGGCCGCCCACACTAGCGAGAAAACGCGCGCGGCGCGCCGATCGCGTTGAAAACGCGTTCCGCAAAATCGGTTGAGCGGGAAGATTTTCCTGCCGCGAGGAATGCTTCAAGAGTGCGCGAGGCCTCCTGTGCTGTCACGTGACATTCGCGGCGGCAGAACTCTATCTAGTGTGGTCTTCAGGATGCGGGACGCGTCTTCCCGCGATCAGCGTGCCACGCGTGTTTTCTCGCTAGTGTGGGCGGCCCTTAACACCGCCTACTAGTCGTGCGAGCAGATGAGCGGCAGCCTCCGGCATCGTCTACTATTTCACCACCGTCTATCGTCGTCTGCAATGCCGTGAGACGCGGACACGAAAACTTCACGTCCGCGTCCGATTTCGGCTCAGCGACGTTCTAGCTTTCCATCATGCACAATCCACGGTCCAATACAAGTGGCTGTCAGCGTCTACTGATGTACAATAAGCGACCGAGAGAACTAAAAAAAATCAACGAAATAAATATGCAGTCTTTTTAGCTTTACCGTTCTTGGTATTTTTTTTTTTTGACGTGGCATCCGAGAGGAAGGTAGGTAAGCGTCCTGACGAACAATTAAAACGCGGCGTAAATTTATTCGCTTTGGTTTGTCAGGTGCTGTGCAAAACTTAAAAGCTTGCCTTTCGATTCGCAATGAGGAAACACGTAGACAAACTTGATGCGAGCGGAACGCTCGACTGCCTCGAGCCACATGGCTCGTAAACTCTTATTTGTGTATAGGGTATCTTCTCGATATTGAAACCATGGTATGGTCGTAATCACGGCAGTTGCACAATTCACAGAGCAGCGGGGCCGCTTTTACCGGAACCAACGTCTTTACGTCGTTATTCAGCTTCAACGCTCGCAAAGGAAGAAACCAAGCCAGATCGACCAAAATAAGGACGGCAGGCTTAGGCCAGTCCCGCTACGAGAACAAGCATCCGCACAGGGCTTCCCAAGGCGCGTACTTGCGGAAGTTGTTTGCTGCAAACTACGTAGGCTGAGGAGACCTTCCTCTGAACACCTCTGGGAAGTCAAAACCACTCGCACTCACAAAAATCAACGAGCTCAACAAGCTTCGCTCGTTCAGCACTCCGCAGACGCAGGCAGCCATCTTTGTTTACGTTTCAAACCGAATCGGAATAAGCGATCTCAGAACACATTTGAAAACAATAATGACTCTATCTTGATTATTTCCTTCTCAAACATAAAAATGTCGATTAAAATACTTTTACGGCACGGAGATTCAAATTTGAAACACAAATTTCACACGTCAATCGTCTCTCCAGCCAATAAGCACGGGGCGTGACTTAGCGGGCTGCGACCTCCTCCTTCTACACCTGAATTCCGACTGACGGCGTAAATATTGCGCAAAAAAAGTTCTTTTTTTTTTTTGTGAAAAAAAAAAAATATATATATATAAATACGTCTCCCATATGTTCCTATTAAAATATATTTTTCCCCTTTCAGCGTTTTTTTAAGTGAAATTTCGGGGGTCGTCCTTTCTTAAGAACACTTTGCATGCACAAATGCAACTTATATATAATGGCCAAAGTACGGACTAACTTTTGTTTATACGCCTTTTTGCCAAGGACCATCTTTTGACACTGGGCTTAGAGGCCATGAGATTTGTCTCAAAGAAACCGACTGAGATTACTTTCCTGAAGAACGTTTAACTTTGTGTGAATGCACGTTCGCTTCAAGACGGAACTTCACCCACATGCCCTCGAATAGCAAATTTTGAAATTCATCGACGTGCCCACGAATCCGGATGAAACTCATAGTGACCGCATACATCGGCTTGGTAATATTAGCTACATGTCTGCTTTTGGCGCAACCGGGCGGTAAGCTTGAGCCGGACCCTCTTTTGCCATATGTCGGTTGTTACTCCTGTCAGAGAGTGCGTGGACAGTAGACAAGCACCGTAGGTTAAAAAAAAAAAAAAAGTTTTGTTGATTTATTTTTATTAGGTAAGTATTTTTCTTTTAAATTTTGATGCGGTGCTTCTTTTACCTTCGGGCACCTCTGCTGCAAGTCATGGAGCGATACGTTAGTAAGTCAATTTATGCGGCCACCTTTAATATTTCATACGGGTTCATGGGCACGCTGTAGATCTTCTCAAAAAGACGCCCTCGGTTAGAAGCTGTGGACTCCCTGCACGGCGGACGTAGAGTCGAAACACATACTAAAAATGCAAGGTCACGTCGCACTTTCTGGGTTTCGTTGGATTATAAGGCAGGAACGCACCCACAAAGGGATTAACACCGTGATGTTGCACTTAGGGCGCTCTTTCGTTCGGTTGTCGGCTTCTATCGTTCTAGTTCGTTTAAATGCGATTAACACACGCATTGAGTCCAACCGAGTGAGGCTGCAGCCGGTTCTTTACGCCTCTTAACGACCGCCCATTGCAGCAGCAATGGCGGTAGTAAGCGATTTAAAACCCCTTTGCCGCAGCAATCCGTAAAAAGGATTAACCTCGCAAGCCATAGCAGCCACACTCGATCGAACTCACGTAAGTGTGTGAACCAGCCTTAAGCCCCGACGCCTGGTGAAATACTCAAATGCTATTACTCTAATTTCCTCGCCATCTTACGCAATGACTTGCCCGTTCCACAGTGTATGTTCCGCCATTTGAAGCGGTTCCTACCTTATAACAATCAGCTCCTGACTTCCAAAACGGGTCCAGGCATAGGCAGAAAGTTTTCAATTTCCCGGAGGGGAGGGGGTTGGGGCCCGACAACCCCTCTACCTCCGCCCCCCCCCCCCCCCCCTCCTCCCCGCCCCCACCCCGTGCACCCTGAGGTCCCCGAAGCGAGTGTACTTGCTTTCCCAAAGAGCCCCGTGGTGGGATGGGGAAGGGGGAGGGGGGGCTTTGTCCCTTCTGGAAAATTTCAGGGCAGGGGGGGGGGGTGGGGGGGAGGTAACCAATTGGTCATTGCCGAGCTTGGCTTTGGGCGCTAGCTAATCGCGGCCGTTAGGAATCTCTTCGACTTTCTCGCAGCGCGTTCAACTCAAGGCTCACGTACGTCGGGTAGGTGTTGTCCTCGACGCAGTAGGCACTGTTCCTGAGTCCCGTCGCGTTGCACGCGGGCTTTCCCGAGGCGTCGACATAGGGCCTCAGCTCCGGGGAAGCCGGGTGCTGAGCAGGGCGCCCCGTGGGCACCTGCATGCGTCCCGGGCCGGGGGGCATCCGACCGCTCCGGGGAACCTTGTAGCCGTGCGGCCTCGTCTGCGCACCGCCGCCCCGGATCTCACACAGGACAACGAGCAGCATCGCCGTCCGGAGGGCCAACTGAAACACAGTAGGGGAGAGTTAATACCGTTCATTATATCGTTAATTAGCCCATCCATACGCAAAGAAACAAAGGAAAACAAACATGCACCTCTACACCGACGCGCTGCACTTCACGCGAATTCCGTTTCTGCGCCCGCGCTCTGCCTACACCTGATGGGGGCAAGCGTGGACTTATTTGTAACTAGCGTAGAGTGCCTCAATGTCTCTGGACAGTCTCCGAGAACGCACAGACACCGCTCTGTTGTATAACGTTTTATACCCCTGTTACACGGCCGCCCTTAATCGCGGTTAACTACTGTTACGCGGCACCGCAGTTACCGCACTATACTCTCGGACAGCTAATTCAGAAGAAGTGAAGAACGCGCGTGCCCTGCTCTGAAGGATGGTCAAGATGCTCGTGCGCACGTTTGCCCATAGCTTTGACTCCATAGCCGCAGAATGTTGCCCGCGAGTATTGTGCGCTAACTGAGGCTTATACCCCTGTCAGACGGGCTAGTTTAGTGTCACTACAAGCGAGTGCACTTCAGCCCGCCGAAGCACACTTCAAGTGTGTTGGTGCTACACGGGAAAACTTAGTGTCACTCCAGAATGATGGCAATGACGATGGGTAAGTAATGGGCACGCACAATATTACAGTGCATACGCATTTTCTCATAAATAACTTCGTCGTCTTATTAGAAACACGTTACCACACATTGTTGCGCTAAGTCACGAGCTTTAATCCAAATTTAAACCCAACTTGATCATTACGATCAGCCATTACAAGCTAGTGATACACGTCCGCACGCCGGTACAATTAGGGTGCCTCAATGTCCTTCTGTTTAGGGTGATGCCATCGTTTGTAGTACCCGATGCCGACAGCACGCGCTCACGGGTAAAATACAAAGAAATCGCAGGAAACAAAAAGTCGCCGTAGCACAGTCAGCGCCACGAGCGCGTGCAGGGACACGCTCTTTCGCGCGCTTCAGAACAAAAAATAAAAATAAGCCTTCGAAACAAAATGGCCAGATGTCATCACCCCAAGCAAAGCGCACATGAAGGCACCCTAGGTACAATGCTCATCTATACTCTGTTTCACCTTATAATGTACCGCAGGAAAGGCTACAAGCGCGAGCTCCTTGCTCAGGGCACATCTCCGTGGCACAAGCTCTCGTGCGTTAAGGGTAGCTCCCAACGCTATGAGCTCGCGCTTCTAGCCTTGTCTGCGGTACAACATGAGGTGAAACGGAGTATAGATCAAAACGAGCAGAAGCAGGGATTGAACCCAGGATTCCTGGGTTCTGCAGCGCGAGCTTTCGCTCCGCGTGCTCCGAGCTGGTGTGCGCGAGCCCACTTGGCCACTCACACGGCGGCCACTCGCCACAACGAAACATCATGGAGTGTGTGGAGGACGAGATGGAGGGCGATATCCACGATGTTGGACAGTGGAAGCGCGTGGTTGGTTCACTTTTTTCCGGGAGAGCCCAACGCCTTTCAGATGAGAGGCAGCTGGACCTGGATGCCGACGCACAGGCAAGAATGTCTGTCAAGTGACATCGATCAGCAGCTGCAGGCCAATGCCTTCACCGTAGCCGCTCTCATGACCGACAACCTACCCGTGATCAGTCGAGAACGGTGGACTTTCCAGGGGAACGAACGGTGGTTCGAAGACACCTTGCCCCATTTGGGCGAGTTCCATTTCAATCAAGCCTTTCGCGTCTCTCCTGCCACCTTCAGATTCCTGGTGGAGTTTCGCAGGTGCCTCTTGGTCGTCGCTGGCCGTCGCTGGCCGTCGCGCAGGGGCCAAGGCTGGGAACTAGATTAGCCGCTTGTTTTTCTACAATGCACTACTTTCCTGCCAACAGAAAACAAGTGCGCATCTAATATTACTCCTATCAAAATAATACTAATTTTACGCAGCGTTAATTTCTTCTATTATTTTTACTCCTTGAACACTGCTATCGAGATTACACACTCGGTCTACAGGAGCGAGCGTAGTGTGCTCCCCGAACTCACTTCATTGGAAGTGTGTTCCTCGGGCAGGGCTGGGGATTGAGCTCAGGATCACTGGGTTCTGCAGCGCGAGCTTTCTCTCCACGTACTCCGATCTGGTGGGCGCTAGCCCACTCGGTTACCGATACCCCTTAATAAAGACACGTTAAAAAAATTAGACGTTTGCAATTCTCTGTAATGCCAAATTGGAGCGCAGCTCTTGAGAGGAGGGAGGAAGGGTACGAAGGGGAGGGTAAGCCAGCTGCTCCCCCTCCGTACCCTCCTCTCCTATTCCAATCCTACTTAGCGTAAAAAATTCGCTAAATTTCCCGCTAAATTTAGCCGGAAAATTTTCCCGCTGAATTGACGTGTGACGTCACATGACACGTCATATGAAATTTTAGATGTGACGTCAGACGGGTATAATTTTTCCTCTAAATTTAGCGGAAAATTTTTCCACCAAACTGAGCAAAAACTTTTACCGCAAAATATAGCGGGAAAAGTTTACCCTCGTGACGTCACACGTGACGACACACGTGACGTCATGTGTGACGTCATTTTGGGAAACAGCCCTTAATGCAACGCGCGGTTACGCCGACGCCGCTTAATTCAGAAAGGGGTGCCTAGGAGCTGTGCTCTAAAACAACGTTGCATTAATGAACGATTTTTACGCCAATTGGATGATTCTGATCGATCATCGCAAGCCAATATAACGAACGAAGCATATCCAACTTTGGTGTTCCGCTTCGTTCCACGAAAGCCTACGAGGAGGCCCTGACACTGCCTAATCAGATCATAATTATCGTGTCGTCTCAAATAATTACATGCTGAAACAAAAGTAGACTCTATCATTCTCTGCTAACCAAGACAGCCATGAATGACTGACTTTGTCGTCGTCTTTTATCAATTCACCACTGCGCTAATCTTGATTCAGGTAAGCCTAAACTCCAAGTCCACCCCACTACTTTTTTTTGCAATGCCACTCTTCTACATGCCGTCTCTTTCACGAATTTCTTTTTCTTTATAAAACAAGACTTACGCAACGCTTTTGGGTTCTGTGTTGTTATGTTTTACTGTTGAAACACTCCTACTGATTCCACGCGCTCGATCGAGCGAAGTGAGTTCGTCAAACTCACTCCAAGCGAAGTGTGTTCCTCAGGAAGGAGCCGTGTGGCACACTACAGAAATGACACTAAGGGCGAAGTGCACTCGCTTGTAGTGACACTAAACTAGCCCGTCTGACAGGGGTATTAGCGTAAGTGCAGTTAAGTGTGCCCGTGTAAGAAGGGTATTAGAAGATTCTTCTTGGGTCTCCGCTAGGACCTTTCTTTT